CATGTGGTTGTTTTTTTTTTTTTGGTCATTGTTGGTCCAATTTTGGTCTTGCCAATGCAAGTCAGCCAGTTTCAGTTTTCAGCAACCACTGCAGATTCTTCCTAAAGTCAGTCCTATCAGTAACAGATCACAATCTCCTTCTACACTGTCCCCCAAGTGTCACATTCTCAAGTTACTAATGTACTAATGCGGAAGAGGAAGGAAGTCTCTTGTGCCAAAGGATCAATAATTTAAGAATGTAAAAACTATTTTCTAGTTTTTATATAACTAGATATAACAACTTTGTCAAGGATGAAAGGGAAAAAAATTAAATGATGTATTTTTGTGTATCAAATCTTCCAGCAAATGAGGATGACTTTAATTAGATGACTTTAAAGTAGATGACTTTAATTTTCCTTTTAGCATTAAAAAACCACACAAAACAGAACAAACAAGCCCAGAAACCCTCTAAGAACTCTGTGCTAATGAATGCTGTGACCTGTGTATTACTAATGCTGAAAAATGATGATAATATATGAGCAAGAAAATCAGTTAGCAGCAAGAGCATTCACCTACAAAATCAGAAACGGAGTACAGGCAGGAAAATTAAAAGAGTGTAGATTCATAGGAGTATCTGTGAGTAAGCACTTTGGTTGTCCTTTTCTGCTCAACATTTTTCCAATTTCTATAGAAAACTGTACTTGATTTTTGTACTTCAAATACAAAAATGATTTTCCTAAAACAGTCTCCTGGTGCCCTCCCTCCACCACTTCTGCAGCAGCATTGTCAGAAAGGCCGTCTCCAGGGTACCGCAGTGCTTGTGGCCTTAGTCAGCTTGCAGCTTAGTTGGCTCACATGGATCCTGACATCTGGATAGTGACTGCAATTCATCTAAGACAGTCAGGGGACTCTCTTTCCTGTGACAGATAACCACTCAAATGGATTTTCATAGGGCCTGGTAACTTTCTCAAAGTATAATATTAGGGATCTCCATATTCTACTGAGGACAAGTCTTTTCTACCTTAAATATAGTCAAAACATGGTCATGATAATGAACGAACTGCAACTTCATATGTTAACTAAATATTTCTAGCTGATCCCCTAGTAATACCATACCTTCAGTTCCCAGGATCCATGTGTCCTTGAGTTACTGTTTCTAGAAAAGGAAATAATGCAATCCATTTATTAGAATTCAGATGTTAAAATGAAACTTCTTATCTAATAAGGATGACCTTTATGTTTTCTCTCTTTACTGAAGTCATATGTAAAAATAGTTGCTATGATTTTAATAGAGCTTACTATCCACATATGGAATAAAATTTGCATATGGCTATACCCCTGGATGAAAAGGCCATATATATATATATATATATTTCATTTGTTCTTGACCTCACTGAGTTTTAGGCAAATAATTAAGAAGTTACTGAAAATTAAACTGTACCTATAAGTGAACAGATTTGTGAGTACATCAAAAAAAGCATTCACTTTGTAAGAAGATTCACTTTAGGATTGTAAAAATACTCAGATACATACATGTGTATTTCTGTTCTCCTGTGATTATTCTATTTCAGTTTTTAAACACTGATGATAATTACATCACCTTCATGCTCCTTTGTCCATTTAAAAAGAATGATACATATCTATATACTTCTTTAGAGACAAAATCTTTGATGATAATTCATTAAAATAATTTACTTCAAAATAAATGTAAATAAAAAATGAAATAAGATAGAAGCTTTGAATGGCAAAAGCAAATAATTACCATCCTATACAAACATCAAAAAATATTTGCTAACATAAAAAAGCTGGCCTGACATCTTGCTATATCTCTAAGACTGCTTGTGTTTTTCAATTTCTTACCGTAATTCATATTTACTGATATTAAATTAAAGCAGATGCTAAACTCTAAAAAATGCTTAAGGTAAAAAGACTCAGGAACTTCTCAATGTCTTATTTTTACAATAGTCCAATTTAAGGTCCAACATATAGAATCTCTTAAGGCCAGTATACTACAAAGTCAATGCCATTGACTACCCTAACAAATCACTTAGGGAGCTTATTGAGAAACTCAGCCCCAAATTTGCAGATTCAGTGTACCTGTATTTTAAACAAATACCTGAGGTGATTCTTGTGGACGCTAAAGTTTAAAACCACCACTTTAGACAACAAAAGTCCTGTCATTTCATGCTCAATGCCTTAAATAACACTGGAATGCTGCACTTCACTGTTTCTGAGTGGCAATGTTTATCACCACCTAGTGGTAAAATCTCTTACTTCTATTTTCTTTCTGTTCATTGATACCACGTAGGTCCCAATTAAAAGAGAATAACATTCAGAGAATATGAAAATTTTAGAGTAATAACTTCCTTAGTATTTTGCATTAACTTTTTATCTACGGTGAGATAAAAAAGCATAAAAAATAAACTTATAAATAAAACCACACCACTACCATTGAATAAAAACAGTATATACTGTAGAAAAATCTTTCCTAAAATACATTCGTTGTTTTATCAGTGCCCTGTTAGTAGTGTGCCTCTAAAAATACATTGCCCAGTGCAAACCATGGTCTTCTTTTGAAGATACAGGGATGATACATATTAGCATATTAAAGGCTCTGAGAAGTGTTTCATGGTCAAAATAATCTGTGCAATAATAACCAAACATTTTCTAAATATTTTTGACCATGAAAACTTCTTCTTTAAAGAAACTTAATGAATTCTCTCAAGACACTAGTATTTCAAGGAACATAGCTTAGGACATGATGCTCTAGAAACAGCAAATCTGATACCTGCTTTCAGCTTCTATAATCTACCATAAAAGACCTGACAATGAATTTATAAGAAAGTTTTGATCAGGCTTTATTTTAGATGCTATTTATATTTGAACCACATATTTGAAAAAGAAGTTTATTGATCTGAATTGCTTAATATTTTTTTAAGTTAATGAAGTACACACCTAATAAAAACCCCTTTATGTTGGCAATTTTAGTAACTGACATATGCAGAGCATTTAAGCATCTATATATCATGTTCTTATACCCAAAGTGCATTTGAAGAGTAAACATCTAAGTGACAACATGAGCACTAGATTATTAAATGCTATTTCTTAGGTTTTAGAACCTCCTCGTTTTAAGAAAAATGTGACATTCTGGCTTTTAAAAAATAAACTTTGAGGGCTCAACTACAAGGGACAACTGAGACATGCAGCTGGAAAATGCAACAGAAGGTTGCAGTGTAAAAGCAGGGTTTCGCAGGCAGAGAACAATGCTACAAATCTCTTTAGAATTTATATGAAGGAATCAAGGAACTAAATCTACAGAAGACACCTTACAGAAACCACAACTGGTTGCTGAAACTGGCTCCCTGACATTAAATGCAGAATAGAGAAATTGGGATTATTTCATCCAAATAGAAAATCTGGAGGTCAGGAGGGTATATGAAAGCTATCGGGGCGCCTGGGTGGCTCAGTCGTTAAGCATCTGCCTTCAGCTCAGGTCATGATCCCAGGGGCCTGGGATTGAGCCCCGCATTGCATCGGGCTCCCTGCTCTTCGGGAAGCCTGCTTCTCCCTCTCACATTCCCCCTGCTTGTGTTCCCTCTCTCGTTGTCTCTCCCTCTCTGTCAAATAAATAAATAAAATTAAAAAAAAAAAAAAGCAAGCTATCACCTGGGAGATCCAACTTCTATATGGCCCAGTCAAAAACTTAAAGACTAATAAGGTGAAAATTGTGGGGAATCAACTTTTGTTAATTATGAGGATTAATCAAAGATGCAATGGACTCAGGTATGAGTTAAGAGAATGCCTTCCCTACTTTTATACTGTTTAGATTAACCAGCTGCCAGATTTATTTCTGGGGGAATTCAAGTATTACCTGAGTGGTAGAGTCTGATAACCTGTAGGGCACAATTTGGTTTCAATCCCTGAAAATGGAACTATGTGCACAGTAAATGAGTTCATGATGAATAAGTCTACCTGTTGGTAATTAATTCTCATCTCCTCACTTAGGTTTTTTTTTTTTTTTTTCATTTCGAATGAGAGCATTTACTTTCTTTTCAAAATATGCCCTTTGGTTCACAAAGATTCCATTCTCATTAAGTCCTGCCTGGGAAGATGAGATTGGAAATTTTCTCATCTAAATTTATTAAAATTACTGATTCAAAAAAAGGATTTCAATTTTTCAATGGAGAGATGTCAAACTGCGATACTCTATTATGCTCAGTGAATTTAATCTTTCATTATTTTTAGTTTAACTCAGAATGTGAGAAGCATAATGAGGTAATTCAGTGGTCTTAATAACTGCATACCATTTATAGTATCTTTCTTTAAGATGCTGACTTTCTGACTTAGATATACCTTTTTTGATACATATTATTCACCTTAAGAGCAGCTAAAACTTTTTCTTGGATTTTCAAAATACAAGCAGAGTAGGGTCCTAATTTTTAATCCTTTTTTGGAATGACTATTCTATCATAGTCTGTTCTGAAGTTACTTACATGTCACGTTTTTACAGTGGCCATTATATCTTGTGTTTATAAAGGAAAATGTCCACCCTCCTGCAAAGCTACTAACATCTATTTAAACTTATTATCAATAACCTAAAATGTTTTTTTATTACCATTGCTCTATAATCTTCAAAGATCTTTTTAAAATTACCAACAAATTTTGGCATAACTATAAAAATACGGTATAAAATATTTCTGATATGTCTTTTTTTTTTAAGATTTTATTTATTTATTTGAGAGAGAGAGAGAAAGAAACAGCATGAGAGGGGAGAAGGTCAGAGGGAGAACCAGGCTCCCCGCTGAGCCGGGAGCCTGATGTGGGACTCGATCCCAGGACTCCGGGATCATGACCTGAGCCGAAGGCAGTCGCTTAACCAACTGAGCCACCCAGGCACCCAATATTTCTGATATGTCTTTTGGCTCTTGCCTCAGATTAAGTGTAAGTATGTAGCCAATCTGCATGTGTAGGTTGAGCAGCAATTACCATATTTTATTGAATCTCAGATGCAACTGACTGAAGGAAGCACCTTTGTTTCATGTTCTATTAAGAAATAAAAACAGGTTGTCAATTACAGTATGGCACACAGTTGATATCACGATGTGTCCAATTTCAGAAATACAAAAATGTGAAAAAATGTGCATCTCAAAATCAATGAAATATGTCATTTTGTCAAATTCTAAACACTGTTATATGTTTTATTCTCTTCTTTCACATAAATAAGGCATGATTTAGTCAAGCAAAGAAAACTTTATTTCTGCTACATATAACAACATATTGCTCTAAGAAACAACTGTTATATTAGTTTTAGCACTGATGTGTGAATTCAAAAATACATGTCAACAATCCGTGCTCCCCAGACAAAACAATGTTGTGCACAGACTATCAGGTATATGAAAAAAAAGCGGTCAACTGTCCACAGGGAGTGCGTCCAGTCACATTTTCAGTCAGTCAGCTGAGGATTATGTCATTATTTAGTCTTTGTTCTGTAGAAAGAACACAACAGAAGTATGAAAATCATCACCTGAAAGGAAATAGCTATTGTATTTAGTATTCCTAAAACGTTAGGAATTTCCTTTATTTCAAAATAACCAATTTATCTGCTTACTTAATCATAGATGTCCCCAAATAAGCAAAACCAAACTTACTCAGAAGGATGATGCAAGCAGGTACTGAATTTCTGAAGGGAAAATGTTGTGAATTAATACAAAATCAGGATGCTCTGAAATACTAAAATTTTTATTTTCCTCAAATAGAGAAACATTTTGTACATTAAACACACTTCAAAATAGAACTCAATTACTTTCAAAGTTATATTCTTAGACCAGTTTCTTTTCCTATTTCATAGGTGTAGCTCACTTAATCCTAGGCCTATTTCTCAGAGACAAAAGGAACCAGCCTTTATGAGTGGTGCTTGTCCCTTGAAATCAAGGGAACAAATAAAAAAAATGCTTTCCTTTCCAAAGACCTTCAAGTGCTATAATCTGTAAAATTTGGGAAACTCTTTCATATTATTTTATTGAACCTTAAAATAATACATTTATTTAATATACCAACAAAGGAGGAGAATCTCATGGAGTCCACAGTAAATAGAAAACCTACAGCAAAAATAAATTTAAAAAACGTGCTGCAACTTTTAAGACATTCAAAACCAATACAGCTGGTTATGTCCTACCATTTTTAGCTAACCTGAACCTACTTTATCTTTGCTCTGAATAGGTACAATGGTTCAATTAAAGGAAAAAGGATAGATTTATATTTTATGAATAGTCATGCTGAAGAATATGTACTTCCTCTGATGTAGGGAACGGGATGAATGTACAGCACTTTTACAGGGAAAACGTGGTATTATAATGCTTCATTCGCGAAGCACCAGCTGGCCACATTTTGTATCATTAAACTTTTAGTTTCTGACCATCCTGGTAAGATGACATGCCAAAGATTCACTGAAATCACCAAGGCAAGAGTTTTAGCTCACATGTGCAAAACGTTATTATATTTTATAAGGAATTCTGCTGATTAATTTTCTCTCAATAACCCTATTAAAAAAATCAGCCTCAGAAAGATGAAGAGATCTGCCCATTCACAGTCAAACGTCGGAATTAGAATTCCAAGCCAGATCTTCTGATTTTTAAGTTTAATATTTTTATACTATACAAATAATCACTAGGAAAGGCTCAACCACAAGAGTAATTCATGTATTTTCCCCATATTAAGAACTTAGTATTACTATCCTTTTTTAAGGACAAAGATTCTTTGAATAGAAGAATTGTTAGCTATATATTAAAATATTCACAGACACAAACAAACACATTTTTGTGTGCTATTTTAGAAGATAGCTTGTCTAACCAGAATTCAGGTCTTATCATTTTATTTGTAAATGTAAAAAGACAGTTTTGTTTTAAGAAGGACTTGCTAATTCTTTTTCACTGGCATTTTAATATTTTTACATCGTATTGGGTAATGGGAATGAATTTTGTAGTTAAATAAAACATTTCAAGACATTTCTAAATTAGGATTATTCATAATGGGCCCAACGGGCATTTCCTATTGCCAACTGCCTTCTAGGAAGGAGAAACTAATCACCTGACTTGCTCTATTAGAAAAAGGGTCATCAGCAGTAAGGATTGAGACAATGCACTCTGATACTTGCTAGTCGCCATAATTGGTCAGAAAGAAAACAGAGGTAAAAGAAATTTGCTTTCAAGTCAGTAACTTCCAAGTCAATCTAAAGTGCTTGCCAACCGCTACCATTTGACCAGCAGTGGACTTGGGAAGCTGGTGTGTGTGGGAACAGGGAAACTCTCAGCTACCCCTGAAGCTCACAATTCATTTCCAGAATAAAAAAAGTGAAAGAGTTGAACATTTCTACTTTAAAGAATGTTTCCCTAAGCCATGGAGATATATGTTGACTATCACAGTAAAAAAAATGTTAAGTTTGATCTCTGAAAACTAAAAGAAAAAGAAATTCATATGGCTGTATGTATCATTATAATAGACAAGAGTTTTTGGTAAATTGGCAGGGTTCCTTTTTCAATACATATATACACATAAGAATACTTTTTGAATGTGTGGTTTTAATGCACAAACTCACAAATACAAGTCCAGAGAAAAACATCTAGGTTCAAAAGGTCCAAAAAGACGTATTATTTGATATTACTTTTTAGACATTTCACTAGTGAGACGTCAAAACACTCTTTATAAAGGTTATTACAAATTACCTTAAGTTATAACTCAAGACATTGACATTAATCCTCTAAGTTAAAAATCTTTAGCACTATTTCAATTTTAAAGTTATATAAACATATGGTAAAAAGTCAAATTCTTAATATTAAAACATTCACAAACAAAAAAAACCCACTGTTTAACTTTCTACATTGAAATCTGATTTTATTTTGTAGAAGAGCAAAACATTCTCCCAGTAAACACTGAAAACATTTAAGTTTAAAAAGTTCAAGTTTAAAAAAAATATATTGTGAAATTAACCCAACCTGTGGTTTTATTAGCCAAGCACTAAGTCACAATGCTTTTAACTGACAACTTCCAAATCCCTAAAAAGAAACTCTATACATATTCCTCTTGCTATAATATTTAGCCAACGTGTTTTTAAAACTCAGACTAAAAAGGGCTTACCTCAAGAATCAGTAAGTTCTTTGTCGTTTGTTAGATTCTTCTCTTGGGGAATCCGCCAGCATAACTTTAAGTCTGACTCCATTTAGGATCTTTCCATGTAAAGTAGTAATGGCATCATTTGCGCTTATTCTATCTGCATATTTGGCATACCCCACGTTTTTTCCTGACACAAGGTAAACTTCGATCAGGTTACCAAAACGACTGAAACAAAGTTAAAAAAAAATCCAATGAAATTGATAAAAATATAACTCTTTAGGTCCAAAAACTGGGGTCCATTCTGGACTCCTCCTCCATTCCTCTCCCCACACCCAATCTTCAAGTCAATCTTCCTTTTCAAACACGTGCTCTATTAGTCAAGTTCTCTTCATTCTCACTCAGGTCTCTTTCCTCATTCAGCTGGTCATTATCTTTTCCTTGGAATGCTCTAATACCTTCCTCACTTGTTCCCCTGCCCTTTGGGCTTGTCCCTCCCTAATCTATTTTCTACCCTGTCTTTCTAGTAACCTTTCTAAAACAGAGATGTGATCATTTCCTCCCTAAAAATCCCATCCAGGGTGAAGACCAACTCCCTAATATAGCTTGTGGGCCTTTCTTGACATGGGCCTTGTCCTCTCCCACTTCACCCTCCCTCCCAGTCTCTCAAATTCCATACTCTAACCATCTCCTTTCACATTCTCTCTTGCAGAAATAACCACCCCCGCCCCCCAAATCCCTGCTTCTCTAGCTAAGTTATTTTTATCTGTCAGGTCTCCATTATACATTGCTTCTTAGAGCTTCAGAAGTAGATGCTCCCCTTATGTATTTCATAGCCTGGACATTCCTTTTCACAACACCAACATCACGAGGTTGTAGTATCCTATTCACTTGTTTGTCTCCTACATGAGATTAGCTCTCAGAGGACAAGAACTATTATGTCTTATTTACATCATATCTTTTGTTTACACAATGTCTCTTGCACTTAGCATGATGACTGCCTGGCGCAAAGGAAATGTTCAAGAAATAAACCACATGAATCAGTTAAATAAGTCAAAATATTTGAACTACTAATGTTTTGTGCAGCTCTTCAATGAGCTTCCTATTTTTTTTTTTTTACTTTGCTAACACTGTTGTAAGGCAAATAGGAACAAAACCAAAAAGAAAAAAGTTAAGATTAAAGTTCTATTAAAAACACAAAAATAAACAAGAGCCTTCCTTTTTCTACACTTATTATGTACTCTTCCTTACAATCAAGTAATTGTTTACTCAAAATAATCCTTAAGGATCCAACAGATTGCTGACAAAATAGAAAATGCTACTCTGTTCAGTTGTATTACAATCACTAAGGAAAAGTTATGTAAAAAGAATTCTAGAGGAAAGGTCGACACAGATGTATTTTCTATCAAGAAACAAATGATTTGTCCATTTTATGCATGCAATTTTTCAAAACAATACTATTTTGTTTTGTTTTGTTTTTAAAGATTTTATTTATTTATTTGACAGAGAGAGAGAGACAGCGAGAGAGGGAACACAAGCAGGGGGAGTGGGAGAGGGA